CCCCCTGCCCCGCCGCCCCCGTGCCTCGGAATAGGGGTCGCTTCCGGCCGCGGCGAGGCTCCCTTCTCTTCCGAATGCAATGGCCATGACATCCGCTGGTAATGCGCACCCCTGGTGGGGCCCGGCGGGGGCCCGGCGGGGGCCGCAGGGGTGCCCTCAGCAGCCCCCACGCGAGGAAAGGGCTCTGCTCGGGGCGCCCACTACTCGGGGGGAGGGAGGAAATCACGTTGCGGCTGTAATGCCTCCGAATATTCCCGAATGAAATCCGGCGGCGGCGGGACATCACATTCGTATTGCAATTGCCATCGTCGTGGAGAAAAGACCAGGGGTAGGGGGGGGGGGCTCAGAGCGAATTAGATGCGAGCAGCAGCAGCGCAGGCAGCGCTTCCGGGGGGGGGCACCCACTTCCCACCGGCGGCGGGGCCCGCTTATGGGTGGGGTTAAGCGTGCAGCGCGCGGCTTACACTGAGTGTGATAAAGCCAGCAGGGATAGCGAGCGAGCGCTGGCGCGCTGGATTTTTCATAGTGTGATGGTCGTTACGTTTGGAACGCCCCCCTCGCCGCCACGGCCGCCACGGAGCGAGCCAAACCTGTATGGGGGCGCCCTATCAGGTCCGTTCACACGCACGCACGCCCCCCCGCCCCCTCACACACACACACACACACACACACTGCCCACCCGGCCAGTGCGAGAGGCCTCTCGGCCTGAAATACTGCAAATTGGAGAGTCGCCTACCCGAGCCGCTCCCAATACAGCCTCTTCCAAATTCCACGCCAAAGAAAAAATCTTTGTACGTCCGGCGTTAGAAACTTTGCTGGCGCGGTATCTGCACAAAACGTATACGACACAGGAATTTCGTTTTTGCTAGAGTTGTATCAATGTTCAAACAAGCAGCAACGAAAATAATGTGGTTTTGCTCTCACCTGTCATGCTATCACCGCCCAAGTTAAAGGCAATTGTTTTTCCGTGCTGGATCCGCACGAGATGAGGGGCAGTAGCGAGCAGTAGGCTCTGCTGCATCGCCTTGGTTCGGCTCGCCAGTGCGCCCTGGTGCGCCCGCTCCCACGCTTTTTCTCCCTCTCTCTCTCTCCCTCCTTCTCGCTCTCTTTCTCGCTCTCTTGCTCTCTCTCGCTCTCTCTCGCTCGGGGGCGCGCAGGGCACCTCCAGCGGCATTTATTGGGCTCTTCAGGCGCACTGGAGGGAGAAATAGCCGGCGCAGGCCGGGGCCAGCAGCCGGCCCCGGGGCGTAGCCGACGTGGCGGGGAAGGCCGTCCGCGCTGTCCGCTCCGGGCTCGGGCATGCACACCGCGCTGTTCCCAGGCGCTATGGTGCGGTGCCACGCCCCGCCCCCGCCACGCCGTTGTTCCCGAACTGAATCGATTGGGGCGCCCCTGATGTGGGGATGGCGCGGCGCCGAGAACGCCGGCAGAATCGGGGGTGGGCTTTCTTTAATAATCATTTTCATCTATTTGTATTTCGAAAAGCCAAGTCTGTAGCAAGTTCCGCCTCGTCCGACCCCTCCTCCTCCTACGACACGCACGCCGCCCCCGCCTGACGTCCGCCTGGCCTGCAATGGGGCTAGGGGCGCGACACGGCGCTCCCTCCGCACGCAGCTCAGCGGAAGCACAAACTGGTGCGCTACAAAGCGTCAAAGGCTGCTGCTGCCGCCGCTGCGGCTGTGGGTCTCGGCCGAGCAAACAACAAACACTGACTGGTCCTGGCCAAGCCTTTCTCTCTGGCTTCCGCCGAGTGCCGCCCCTCTATTTCCTAGCTACGCCCCACCACGCCCCGCTACGCCACGCCACCACGCCACGCCCCGCCGTGCCCCGCCCGCCCACGCCACCGCGGCGGGATCCGAAGTCGCCAACTGATTACTAGGAAACCCTTTGGGGCAAAACCATTTCCGTAACGCCGCGGTCACTCCGTCCCCCCTTCCCTTCTCCTCTTCCTTTAGCGCGCTCCAGTTCCCCCCTGGTGGTGGTGGTGGTGGTGGTGGTGGTGGTGGTGGTAGAGCCGTGGGTTCGTGCCGAGGTTTGGTCCTCACGCCCACCACGCCCCTCCACGGCCCCACCGCGCCCCGCTCCGCCAAAGACTCGCGCCGCTGCTGCCTGGCCGCCTTTTTATTTCCGGCGAGAGGAGCTCTTCAGGAGCTTCCGGTGGGGTGTTTCCGATTAGAGGGAGAGATGGAGAGGATAAGGGAGAGGAAAGAGGAGAGGAGGTGGGGGAGAGAAACCGTAGAGAGACCCCCGGACGACCTGATCACACAACTGCATCGCACAAACAGAGATCCGGCCGCCAAGGCCTCCAAAAGCGCTTTACTACAAAAAAAATTTGTTTTAAATTTTTTTTAAAAGAGGAACAAAAATCAGAGTTAGTTTGTGTAAATTCTTCGCCAAAAGTTGAAGTTAAAAGTTCAGTTCAAATTTTCCCGAGGCAGTGCAAAAGCAACCCTGTTTGTTGAATACTGCTTCCATTGTTTCGACATCATTTTTACCTTTTCTTAGTCGTGAAGCTTAAGTGTTTCTATTTTTTTCTTTTTCACAGTGGACTGCGAGGACCCTCACTGCTCGTCGCACGGCTCGTGCGTGGAGGGCCGGTGCTACTGCAAGGCGGGCTGGCAGGGCCCTACGTGTGCGCTGCTGGACCAGCAGGTGTACCAGTGCCTGCCCGGCTGCTCCGACCACGGCACCTACGACCTGGAGAGCGGCTCCTGCGTGTGCGACGCCTACTGGACTGGACCGGACTGCTCGCAACGTGAGTACCGTGTTTTTTGAACCATGGCAATTCGGACGGAGGACCTTGGACCTTTGTCCTTCGATTAGTTGTCAACGGCATGCAGAAACAACCAGACAAACTCAGGACGTAGAGATCGCCTGAGCACTCGGCTACTTGGTCAGAGAGAAACGTTCAGCGATAATACACCTGTGATGTCTGTCCAAGTGTGTATGGGGGAAGAGAAGTGGAAGGTGGAAGGAGGTATGTCGGTCGGTGGTAAAACTTGTGCCACACTTCGCTGAGGTTGCCCTGCTGTGGGGGGGGGGGGGTGCTTCGGGGGGACCTTGAGACTATCGCCGAGGTTCTACCCCGAGTCCTCCTTCCCGTACCACCACGCCTCCTTTGTGCCCTTCAATCGATGTTCGCGCACTTTTAAACCCCGGCCTCGCCCTCGTTGAACCCTTTGAGCCCCCTGCAGGGTAGGCCTGGCTGCGCCACGCCCGTCCTTGCCCCGCCGCGGATCACATCTGGGAACGCCCCGCCCCGACCGTATGCCCAAGGCGGGGCGGGGCGGAGGGCGGGCGCAGGCTGGCGAGGCCAGGGAAAAGTTGGCTGCTTGCTTTTATCGGTCAATTTTGCCTGGGCGGGGCGGGCGGCGTACCTCGGCGGCCAGATTATATGCCGAACAGGGTATAAAACAGCTTTACGTTCCCGAAGGCGTGTCTTCTACTGCCCGCGGGCGGCGCCGCGCACCGCCACGCCGCCGCCAGGGGCCCCCGAGGCCGCGCGCGGCGGTCCAAAGTTGGCGACATGTCAAATAAGAGGGCTCGCTGCTGCACAGGGGCTGCTATAGTGTTGGTGAAAAGGCTCGCGCTCCGCGGTGCCCTCCCTCTCCCCTGCCAGGGGCGCGACCCCCGTTGTTGTCATTCGGAAAGTGTGCGCGAATCTTGCTTGTCGTGCTCGCGGCGAGGCGCGGCGGCGGCGCCCCCCTCTGCTGTTGTGGCGGGTCTGGGTGCGTTCCGCCGACTCGAAGATGAATCGAGCGCAGATTCCCTCTTGCGATAAGTCGAAAGAGCGCGCGCAGCAGAGCGGAGCCGCGGCGAAGAAAGAGGGAGAGAAACTCCTTTCTGCGCGACGGCAGTCTTACTTTACATTCGCTATTCGTCTGCTGGTTGCGGGGCGGGGCGGGGCGGGGCGCGGTGTGTCGTGCCACTGGCGCTGCTTATCCTTTCATGGCCCGCAGCAGGTCCGCGGCGACTCGCAGCGCTCGCAGCGCGCGCTCGCACGGCCACCCGGTTCCGAATATTTTATACACGTTGCCGCTGGCGTCGCCTGGACAAAGTTGTCGCCCCGCAGACCCGTCGTTCGTTGGCCGTCCGTGGCGGAGGCGGAGTCTAGACGCGGGGGGACAGGCGTGTGCGCTCTCGTGTGTGTGTGTGTGAGTGAGTGTGTTTTCCTCTGGTCATTTAGTAATGAACCGTTGGAATAGGGGATGATGCCCCCTCTTTTCCGTGTCGCACCTGGGGGGAATGTCCAGCGAACGGGCTCCTTTCGTCGGTACACTCCGTGCCCCATGCCGTTCGGGGGTGCCCCCTCCACCACAACCTCCTGCCCCTTCTCTGATACCTCCTCGAGGCGTGGGTATCCTCGCGCGGTGCTCAGCATTTCGCCACTTATCGTCTTGTTTTCTTCCCCCCTCAGTTTCGCGTTTCCTTCTCACTTCTTCTTCTTCTTCTCGTTTTACGCGCCCGAGGCGGATAAAACTGTGCAGATCATGTGCTTCTGGCGCGCGCGGCTGGGGGGCTCCACTAAGTGGATAGGGATGGGGTTCTACACCAGGCGGCCACACTCCTTAATGGACGATAAAAAAAGAAAAGTTATGTCAATATGGCTGCCTGGGCGAGGAGGGCCCGGGCGAGGGCGACCAGGGTGCCGGGCGGGGGCGGGACGGGGGCGGCGCGGGGGCGGCGCTGGCCGCAGCAGCGCGCGGCAGTCAAATATTTACAGCGGGGTTTAGCGCGGAGATGGATATATACTGAGCTGCACACGAACGAAACATGGCACGCGAGGAAGGAGGCGAGGAAGGGTGTTGCGGAACATGGCCGGCTTGGGGGGTGGGAAGAAAGAGAGGGGAAAAAAAAGAAACGCTCGGGTAAATTTGCTGCTTGAAAACGTTGTTATATGGTGTTGGCCGGTCAGCGCTGCGTGAACGTGCGGGGGGAGCATACAGCATGGGAAGGCGAAAGATACACAGCAAACAAGAGAGCGGCCGGCGGCGCAAGTCTGCGACTTTATTGTATTACGCAGGAACATGCGGGGATTTCGAACGAGTCGGCGGGAATATTTGTGTTGCCTGAAAAGAAAAGCGCGCGCTTTTTATTGTTTAGTAATTTGATAATAACAACAACCCTAACACATAAAAATACTTGTATGACATTTTTGACCTTGCTCCGGGCAAGCTTTGCTAGGGCAGTGTGACCGCCTCCCAAGTCGGAGGTCACACCTGCCTGTGGTTATTTCTGGACGGGGGGATTTTCATGCGTGGTGCCTCCTCCCGGTGACCTGCTTGAAGGACACGGCGATGGACCCAGCGAGCGACCCTCCTCTTCTGAAAATAAACATGTAAGGAGACAAGGAAAAAAATAGGGGGCAAAAACACAAGTGCTAAATTTAAAAAGTAACAAGAAAGTGTGAGAGAGAGCAGTAGTTTGTGGACTTTCCCCTCAGAGCTGTCCGCGCCGATCACACGCCTCCTCGAGACAGCAAGAGGACGTCGGCAGCCATTAGAGGACATCCATTAACTACGTCACGTTCCTGAAGTGTGGCTGCGGGGCAGCAGGCGGAGGCGGGAAGGGGAGAAAGGGGGAGAGGGGGGAAGAAGAGAAAGGGGGCACCTGAGGAGGAGGGGAGTTTTAGCGCGGTCATACCTCGGCCGAATAGGGTTGCGTCATAAAGACACCGTAAAAATGCGTCACGTGATGGAGAGGGGGGCTGCGAAATGAGGATAAGCCCAGGCCGGCTCGCCTTTAGGGCGGCGGGCACGAACTCCTTGGAGGAGGAGCAGGGCACCGGGAGCACATAGCGGAGGAGCGGGCGCCTGCAAGTGGCCGCTGCGGCTCTGCGGAGAGTCAACGGCTGGGGCAGAGGGGCCCGCCCAGGGGCTGAGGGCCTCCTAGTTTCGGCTTGTTTCGCCTGGACTTTGCCTCGCTCTCGGCCTTGCTGCTGCTCTAGCTCCCCTCGGCCTGGCGGGGCTGGGCAGGGCGGGGATGGTTTGTCGAAGTGGGACGCGGTGCGGGGCCAGGGCTGGCGTAATGATGAAGAAACTTGTTCCCATTGTCCGGCCCAGCCTGCAGGCGCTGCCCGCCCCGCCCCGCCACGCCCCGCCACGCCCGCAGGCCACCCTGGCCACCGGCATTATGAAATCGGCCGCGCGCCCCACGGCCGTCGTGCTCCGCCGACGACGACTTGGCTCGGCCGGAGGGGTGTGGTGGTGTGAACTGACTTGTGCACAGCCAGAAAACGGTCCAGCGGTCGGAAATATACAAACTAACGCAATCAAATCAGAATCGCCCTAACAGAAAACGAAGTCCCTACTTTATCCCTCTCATGTTCCAAAGTTGTCCCTCAATTTTTGGGGGACTAAAACGGGATTTCAAGCGTATCGAAATTCCTCAGAAATCCCTTTTAAGTGAAATCCCTCCGAAGTCCTTTTGCTCGGTGATTTTACATTTTGCATCATTCACAGAACATAGTGAAGGAGGCTTCCTAGGCAATTTTTAACACCTCAGACGACATCAGAGGACCTGTATCTCTACTATATATATGTATATGGGCACCTATTGTTAGTATTTTTAGACATGTTAGAGCTCTCTAACGGCCTGGAGCAAAGATTGGTTCAGAGCGTCGGCGGAACTTCCGCGGGATTTCAAACGTCCAGGGAATATGAAATCCCTAAGTCCTTTTTTGCTCCCTTTAGGAACTTCCAAGGAACTTCGGAAAAGGACATCTGAGGGATTTCAAAAAAGGGACTTCGGAGGGTGGTCGTTTTCTGTTAGGGCGATTTCTCTGCTACTACTTCAAACAGGCGAAAACTGTACAACGTGATAAAATGTTTCTCATCAGTTGATTTGAGGGGGATGGAAAGAGGAAATTGAAAGTGTTCGCGCGGGACTGCTCGCTGCCATGCCGCGCCTCCAAAGTTTCAACCGTATCGCAGCCTAATTAGTGGAGCTGCTCGTCAAACTGTAGCAGTAGTGGTCGATGCGTCGCGGCTCACATCCGACGGCGGCGCAAAACCCGATTTAAAATGCGAGACCACGACGCGGATGGAGGGAGGAGGGGAAAGGGGAGGGGGGCCGCTCGGCAGTCCACACCGCGCCTCAGCCTGCTCGCCGGCAGGGCCGAGTCGGGCGCGGCGGCTCTTTGCGATAAACTTGAAACTTTTAAATCCGTTCCGTGAGGACCCGAAGGGCGGCGCGCAGCAGGGGGTAGGGGATGGGAGTGGGGGGGAGGGTGAGCGAGCCGGCCCGGATGAGTACTGTCG